CATCAGTAAATGTTTTAAGTCCACTTCACTTTCAGCAAGCAAGGTTGTATCATCTGCATATCGCAGGTTCTCTTTATAGTGACTCACACATACACCATAGTTCATTCAGGCAGAAGAAGCCAGTTAGAAACCAGCTGTTGTCTGGACTGGACTCTGACTCAGTGTGTCACACAGGACTATGTGCCAGAGGTTTCCAGTGGCTGCTTTTTGGCAGGTAGATTGCTAGCCTTTCTTCTAAGGCCCCTCTGGGTGGCCTTGAATTCCTGGCCTTTTGGTTTTGAGTGTGGGAACCACTTTTGCTCTCTGGGACCTACTTAGCCAGTGAAGGGATTTCTGACTTTGGAGGTGTAAGAAGGGTGTGGGGGCTGGGTCTGACCTCTTCTGACTTCATGAGAGGGGAGCAGAATCAAAGCCAACATCACCCAAGGCTGATTCCTGTGGGGCTGAGGTCAGACCTGCCTCCACTCTTCATTACGAATTCGGACACCAACCATCCCTCCCACAACACTCTCTGATGGGTTTGATCATTCATTGCAGAGGCCACACAGAACTCGCTGAAAACACTCACAATTATAGGGTTTATTAGGAAAGTTAACAGGGTGCAATTCAGGATACAATTATTCTAGTCTCTGGTCTTTGGCCTCTGTCCTGCTCAGGCAATATGACAAACAACTTCAGCACCGCTGATAAATGCCCACAGGGCACTCCATTCCATCGGAAGCCTCAGCCCCAAGGCACTCGGCTCTCTCTCCGTGCATGGGTTGGTGCCCAAAAGCACTCAACTTCCCTTGCTCGGTGGGCCATGAAGCCCAACGCTCCATCTCATGCTCTGGCTCTTGGTTCTACTGCTGCCGCTTCTCTTTGGTGCCACAGGTCTCCATCTCCTGGATGCAGGAACTTCTGACCACAGAAGGACACACTCCACTTCTGATAGTGAGACCCCTGCTCTGGCTTCTGAGAGGGCTCATCTACAATCCAGTGGGATGGCAAAGCTGGCCCATCCCCACAGTAGGCACTGTTAACAATCACTCACAACCGAATCGTATAATCCCCACCTTCTGTCACCCACCAGGAGAAGAGGAAATGCAGCCAAATGTGTGGTTTGATGGGGTTACAAGTCGCGGCCCCACAGGAAGGGTCTATGCTGCATTTCCCAAGCAGGTCTCAAGCAGAGAACTTCTGTGCTGTGCCTGGTACTGTAAGCCAGTGTTTCCCAAATGCAGTAGCAATATCAGCCTAGTCCAGCTTGGGTGATGTGGGAGGGACAGAGCCCCTCAGCACCTGGCTGTTGGTGGGGCTCACATCACAGTCTGCTCCATCTCCCCTCACCATGACACCTCAGAAACCCTCCTTCAGAAATCCAGGCAAGTCCTTAGCATGACCTCAGTTCCATCACCTGAAGGACCACTCAGGAGTTGGGTGGGATGAGCCTTGGAGGTCCCCACTGAATGGGAAAGGTGGCCAGGATGGTCCCCAAGGGGAAGGGAGAGATAGCTTTCCTATGCTTTTCCTGGAGATGGAGAGGAAGACTCCAAGGGGCAGGCCTGACCACCCACTGCCCACGAGGTCACCTGAGTGAGAAGTCTCAGCTCTGCTGGGGTCTTCCAAGCTTTCTGCCCCACCCAGGTCCTGTTGTCTCAGCAATGACTGTGCTGGGGGAAGAAATGGCACCTAAAGATGTGTCCATGCTGGTACCGAGCACCTGTGATGATGTCATCACTGGTGTGGTTCAGTCTGAGCTGACGCTGACCCCTCCAGGTGTGCCTGATCAGATCACACCCAACTACAGACGAGAGTCGGAGAGAGACCACATTGCTGACTTTGGAGACAGAGGCGTGGTCAGCCCCTGGGAGCTGGGAGAGACCAGAAAACAGCCTCCCAGACCCAAAAGGACCCAGCCCTACCCCAGCAGCTTGACTGGGACCCTGTGTCAGAGAGCTGAGAGAAAAGTGTGTTGTGACAACCGGTGTTCATAGGGGGCACTTCCTGGGGCTGTCCCCACTTCCTCTGGGTCTGGGTTCGGGCCCAGTTCTGGCCATTCCGTGGATCCACAACCTTTAGTCCTTCAGCAACCCTCATGGGCCTGCCTTGCTCAGTGTGGGTTCAGGGAGATGCTGGGAGTGTTGAGACCTGCTCTCTGTGTTCTGGCCCCATGGGGCTCTGCTCTCGGCTCTCCTTTCTTGGGGGTACTGAGGTCCCTCTGATTATATCTTAAAAGATATTGATTCAAGATGCACCCCAATCCTGTACACTGCCTCCGGCCTCATTGACATCATGGGTAGATTTGAACAGCCAATCATTTGGTTCGCTGTTGAGCATGTTAACCATTTGTGTTGTATAGGAAGCCCCTCCTTCATCCATGGTTGTTTTAGAGGTAGGATCAAAACGGTGACTTTTGAAGTCTTGAAGAAATCCAGAGTCATCACAAAAAGCCTTCATCTCTGGATCACTTCATGGCCAGCTGCCATACCTGGGCAGCAGGGTACAGTTACCAGACCTGAGGACTGTCTGTCCTGGCATCCACTTAGACACTCTGGCATGAGGTGCTGAACTATCCCGTGACTAGGGAAAGTGCCAGGGATCCTTGGCCTGGGACTCTGGGACCCATTGAGGTGCAAAGTGAGGATTCTGGGAAGGAGGGCTGCTGAAGATGGGAGAAGGAGATGGAGTGATAGACTCTCTGGGGGGGTCTCCTAATATCAGAGACTCCCCAATACCCCAGCTCTTCCCAGGGTTCCCCAACATCAGAGACCTCCCCAACACCCCAGCTCTTTCAAGGGTCCCCCAACATTAGAAATTCCTCCATACCCAGCTCTTTACAGGGTCCCCCAACATTAAGATTCCTCAACACTCAGCTCTTGCCAGGGTCCGCCAACATCAGAGACCTTCCTGACACTCAAGCTTCTCCCAACTCTGGGCGTGGGAGACGTGTATGGATTGACTTGTACTCTCTCAAGATCCTGGACATGTCCCGTTGTGACTTGATTAGGTAATTGACTCAGTTGGCCTTGGATGGAGTAGATGACTTTCCATAATGCATTCTAACCCCACATAGTCAGTCTAGGTCAGACCAGGGTAGGAAGGGTCCTGATCCTAATCACTTCTCAGTTATACGAAGACCAGACACACACATGGGGTAGGGTGTGTGTGTGTGGGGTGGAACAGGGGCTGGGTGAAGATCATGTACCAGCCAAGGAACCAAGGAATGCCCGGGATATGGAAGCACTAGGCTGGGCTCAGATCTGGACTTTAGCTTCCTGAACTGTGAGAAAATGAATTTCTGTTCTTTAAAGCCCTTACATGTGGCGCTTGTGACAAACAGAAGGAAGAAACCAGGACAGACGCTGAGACTACAGCTCAAGTCACACCAAGGCTCTGGTGTGGTGGGTCTGGGAAACACCAGTAGGACCTCTGAGCCCAGGTCTCTATCCCACACTACCAGGTGTCAGTCAGGGACTTACCGGATACTGCTCCCTCTCTGGGTGTTGGTCATTGGGCTAAGGAAGGCAGGCGTGGAACTCAGTCATGGTAATTAGTCAAGTGAATCGATGACATTAACTGAGTTTTACCTTTTGTTGTTTTACAGGCATGATTTCATTGAATTGTAACAACCACCTTCTGAGGTGGGGTTCTTAATATCCCTGTTACACAGGTGACTAAGCTGAGGTCCAGTGAGAATGAGGGCAGAGCCAGGCAGCCAGGTGGACACGTCCGGAGTGGGCTCTCTTGACCTCTTTATACCTCTGTCTCTCCTTCCCTAAGACTCTTGTTTACGATTTAAAGGATGTGCTTTGAGGAGTTTGTGGCTCCTCCACGCGTCATGCGTGCCGTGTGGACTGAGGGTCCAGACAGGAGGGTCCAGGGTCACTCAGGAACCTCTCTAATGAACTGGAAGTGGGGAGTGAGTTTAGCTCAGTGCCCACCAGGCTGTGAGGTCCTATGGAGCTGGCCCTGGGGCATTTCTGCTCCTCCTCTGGTTTTCCCCATTAATGATAAAACCTCATTTGTCCTGGTGGGTCCCTGTTGGTCTCATGTAAATAGGTTTGAGACCACAGCACAGTTCATCCTATGTCCAGCAATATCTCGATGTCTTTTCTCCCTGAAAACATGAAACTTGTCCTAAGACCATCCCGTCATTCCCCTATTCCCAATTCCTTCCACCCATCTCAACATTCTAAGATGCCCACGATGTTTTCATTAATGTTGGATGACCAGAGACCTTTTCTGGCCCAGGCTGTAACACCGTTTGGGTGGTCGAGACCTCAGGGCTTTGGTTCAAGAAGAGCAAGAGGCTGTGTATCCTGACAGCATTCTGAAAGCACGTCCTGGTGTGTTGGGATCTAACTGGGAGACCAGCTCATCTCAAAAGGACTCCAGGCCACAGACTCACAGACTCGAGTCCTCCTGCGGCTGGTCAGGGTGGGGCAGCGGGACATCCGGGAAGGTGGGGTGAGGTGCTGGGCAAATCTCCCAGAAAGCAGTGCTGTAAACACCAATTCAGCTGGGAATCCACAAAAGGGTACATTTGACCCTGGGATGGGCACAGTGAGTTTGTGTTCCGCACCCCCCCCTTGGAGTGGTGGTTCTATGGGGCTGGGGTGGGGGACTAGTCTGTCCCTGTCAGAGGGAGTAGACTTGATTGGACTCAGAGCATGGAAAAGGCCAACCTGTAGCTTTGTTTTTAGAGATGTCATCAAAAAGGTGATACAAAAATAAAGATAAATTGAACTTCATCAAAATTAAAAGCATTTGTGATTCAAAAGGCACTATGATTGAAATAAAAAAGAACTCACAGATTGGGAGAAAATATTTGAAAATCACATATATGTAGCAGAGAACGTGCATTCTGATTATATAGAGAACTCTTCCAAACACACTAAGAAATGAGCAAAACACTTGAATAGGTGTGATAGCCGAAAAGATGTATGAATGGGTAAGAAGCACAGGAAATGAAGAGAGAGCCTCTATATGTATATAATACACACTTGTTGTTGTTGTAGCTGTTAGTGTTGTCGGACCCTTTCCGACTCATAGAGACCCTGTAAAGGGTTTCCAAGGAATGGCTGGTGAGCCTGAACCGCCGACCTTGTGGTTCAAATGGACCCACAGCGCCCCACCAGGCCTCCATATATAGATGTATAGACCCGCACCTCTGACGATTGTCACATGTGCACTCACAATATCTTGTACAGCCGTCACTACTATACTTTCCAAATCTTGTTCCTTTGTTTTTCTTTACTTTCTGCATTATTAGTCCTAATGAAAAAATAAGTATACCTGATTTCCCTCCAGTGTTATAGCATGACGACCAGCGCCCATTTAAACGAGGTATCCACTAAGTCCTTTCAGCCCTGTCCCACCCTGCCCCCCACAACCTATGGAAAAACAATAAATAAACTTCTTACAGAAAAACTCGGAAGGTCAGAATGACCCAAGGACACCTGAACAAACAGGCTAAAACTTAGCCCATCCATACAAACAAGATAAGGGTTTATTGGTGGGTTTACTCCCACTTACAGGATAAGGGTCTGCTGGAATTTTCCACCCCAGGTAACAAGACAAGTCTGTTTGTTTTAACCAGTCTGTGTTTTTGTATAAAGCCCTGTTCCCCCCACTCACTTCCGGGTCAAAGTGATTTAGGCTTTAGCTGACCCTCTGGCCATCAGCAATAAACTTTGCTCT